CATCCTTATTTAACTTTTAATATATTTGCAGGTTTACGACCACCAATATTACCTGAAATGCCTGATGATTATGCACAAATGATGCAGAGGTGTTGGGATGTGGATCCATCAAAAAGACCAACTAGTAGAGAGCTTTGGGAATTTGCTGATAATAAACGTGATAAAATTATTAAAAATAATAGTAACAACAATAGTTTAATAAAAAGATTATTCTTTTCTAAAATCAAAAAAACATGATTCTAATAATGATGGTAGCAGCAGCAGTGATGGTATTAATAGTAATAATGATTCGAAACAAGCACACAAATCACATCCAGATGCATATCATAAAAGTAGAATATTGGATAAATTGGATGAAGAAATTGCTAAATCAAAAAGCTTAAGTTATACAAGTAATGATAGTTCATTGAATAATCTTGATTTTTTCTAAATGTTAACAAAGGCAAATAAAAATAATTAACTGGAACTTATTATCCATTAATTATTATTAACAATATTTTTTGATCGCATTAAATTCTAACAATTAAAAGAAAGAATTGATGAATGACTAATTTAATTACCACTATAAAAAATTTATTTATTATCTTTCTATTTGTCTTTTTATTTATCTTTATTTTATTTCTTAAAGCTAAATTATAAATAATGTTTTGAATAATAAACTTTTTGATTCTTGCTCAATTGTGGGTCATTTCGGTTAATCAACAATGATGGCCTGACTTTTGGGCTACTCTTGTCAGTTAATTAGTTTACAAATTTACTTTGGTCTCCTCTTTCTTGCACCTAGACGAATCTGTGAGCGCACTTAATGGTACCAGATAACTATAAATAAATAAAGATGGCCTTTTACAAAGCTCAAAGGCTTCTATAAAGTTCCTTTTATTCACTTGTGATCGATTTCTTTGTTTGCATTTATTGAACTCGCTTTGGTTTACTTGCAAAACAACTCAAGTAGCTTGTTTAACAGCCATATGTTTACAATTACAGTAACACTACCAGTATTTCCTATTAGCCTTTGGACGATGCTTCATTAACACTCGCCAGTTAACCAACGCTAATCCTAACTTTTGCTTACTCACTAAAGCAAATCATGTTACGAATAGTTGTTAATACTCACTAGTTAACCAACGTTAAACCTAACCTTACTTGCTTGCTCACTAAAGCAAATAAACGTGGCTTTTTACCAAAGCTCCACAATTGTCATACTCGTTGTTTTTATCAAAGCGCTTTGAAAAATGAAAATAAAGACAATGTTTTTATTTAACGATTAATTTTATTTAATAAAATAATGATTCTATTAGAATGTTAATTATCCTCTGCGAGGACCTTAATGGAAATTTCATTGATCAATACAATAAGGATAAAGATTATTGCAAAGTAACTTAATCAATAAACATTGATATTATAAAAACTTCCATAATTATTTACACTAAAGTTATTTAACCCTGGAACATAAAGTATCGAATCCCTGATCGATGATTTTATCTAACCCGATCATGTATTCAGAAAAAACAAAGGAGAGATTGGGATACGCAAGAAAAATATAAAAAAGACCTTGGAATATATATTTACAAGTTTTTTTTGTAAGCTTTTATATTTTATTAGCCTTTAAAGCAATTTTACTTGCGTCATTTTTGACTTAATGGCAGCGAACTTGACGTAATAGTTTTACAACTTTGATAACATTTCGTCAAACAACATTACGCTCAAGATATATATACATATACACTAATACGCCAAAATATTGTTTCTCAATAAAATTCGGCACAAACCGAAAACAGGAGCTTTAACTTTAAAGATACCGAAAAGAAATCCATATTGGAATAGTATGAGGAAGGAGAATTTTATCATATTCATGATAAAATTATTTATGTATTTAATAATTCTTTTGATAAGGAAAGGTATAAAGGACTCCTTGAATATTATCTTAGTAATCTTAGTAATTAAGAACAAACAGACAGCATGTGGAAGAATTTTTGCTTGATTGATGAAAAATTTTGATCTACGTATAAATAATTTATGATTTTAAAAATTGACTTTCTACGTCAATTTATGTTATAATATATATAGAACAGACTGTAATCGTTATGAAAACTAAAGAAACAGGGGAATTAATAATCCAGTTTATTGGATATAAAGTTAATATTAATTATTTTGATGTATTAATTAATTACTGCGCATACACGGAATTAAACAAATTAATATCGACTTTGGATTTTTGAATTAGTATGTAATTATTTTATTTATAGCAGACAGTAATTGAATGATCTTTAACTTTGATGATATATACTATAATACAATATTATCTATCTTTTCATGGGTCAAATAAAAGGATCGTAAGCCAAAGAAAATCAAATTAATGTGAAAAAGTTCTTGATCAATCAATTGCTCAAATATTATGGAAAATACTAATATATATATATATAACTAATAATAATATAAATTAATAATAATAAGTCTATTTGTATTTTTTTTTTTTTTCAAAAACTATTTAAATTGTTCATTAATAAATATATAAATATAAATTTGTTTTGAAAAATTAAAGAAAGAAAGAAAAAGGATGATATAGGTATAGATGATATATAGTCATTATCATTATTCATTATTATCATCAATTCCATCTTTAACATTATAATGCTTAAATCTATTATCTTCAAAGCCTTCATTGTCATCATTCTCAGCACTACTGCGATGATGGCTACCTTTTCTTTTCCTACTTGTAGATCTTGAAGCTAATCTTTTACTAACAGCAACACCGTCATCATCATAATCATCATATTTTTCTTTTAACTTTTCTGGATCTGATGATGAATCTCTACTTGTTTGTTTTGGTGTTGTAGATCGACCTCTCCTTGGTGATAAAGAATCAATCGAGGCATCAAGATTACCATTTGATGATGATAATAAATTGTTATTTGTAGATAAAGAGGGCTGACTTAATGATGATGATACTGATTGTGATAATGATGTAGGCGCTGAAACAGTACCATTTCTTAAGGATTTTCTTGATGGATTGAAATGATTACAGTTTTTACAATAATATTGAACATCATCGTAATCAGCTGCAAAAGCCAAACCATTCCAAGTATAACAATCCTTACAAATTAAAGCATATTTTTGTTCATCTTCACCAACAATTGCATCAACTAATTTATCATACCAATAACGCTGCTGATTTTGTGAATTATTAAGTTGATTAATTAATGGTAATGATGTTGATCTAGGTAATTGTTGATCATTATTACTACCATTAATTCCACCATTGTTGTTGTTGTTGTTGTTTAATGGTGATGGTGGTGGTGGTGGTAAGCGTTGACGCAAAGAATTTGGTGTACCAGGTTTTAGACTACCAGGTGTCGTTGTTGTTAATGGATTTTTTTGACCAGGAGACATTGGCTGTTGATTTGTTGGAAGTCTTGTTGGTGAATCATATCTTTCTAACAAAGTTTTAGTTGTGTAATAACCAGTTTTCTTTTTCAATTCTTCCACTTTAAGACTTTGTTGGGCCCTTAAACTTTCAAGCTGAGATATTTCATTGGCTTCTTTTCTTCTATACCACAAAGCAAGAAACCTATAACCAATCACTATGAAAAAAGGCCCTGTTAAAACAGGCGCCACCTTCATAAAGTCCCAATTTTCTCCCTCATTAGACATGTAAATAAAGTACCAATATCCTATCACATATGCGATATATGCTAATAATGAATAGACTATCCAGATTATTAATGCATTACGCTCTCGTACTCTTATTTCACCCAGGGATATTTCTGCTTTACGAATGTTGTCATCAAGTTCTGATAATATTTTTTCATAATTATCATCCTTTTGTGACTTGAAAAGAGAGACTACAATTCCCATGATTTTGTTATATTTATTATTATTATTATTATTAATAATATTTATGAAATTATTTATGAAATTCTTTTTTATTCAAAAAAGTGTTTGTTTCCATGTATATATATATATATTTGTACGTGCGGATACTTTCTTGATTTGGATTTATTTTCCTCAAATAATAAACAACTTGTAAAGAAATTCAAAGAAAAAAAAATTTTTTTTTCCCAAAGAAAAAAGATGTGATGATCTTCCTTTTTACAAATAATTGCGTCAGACGGTTACACGATTTTTATCAAAAAATTTAAATTTAAAAATAAAGTTTTTTTTTTTTCAAAATAAATCTCTTGCAACTTTTCTGGAATAGAAAAAAACAGTAAATAGTTGATTTCATATACATCTCTATTAAATCGTCACAAGAAAATATAATATAATATAATTTTCTCTTTCTTTTTTCTCTCCCTCCCTTTTTCTCTCTCTCTTATAAAGTCAACACCATCTTTCAACATGCCTCGACCAAAGAAAAACAACAGCACTCAAGAACAATCAGGCTTTAACAATAATGAAAAATATGCAAAGTATAATATTTTATTGAATAGCACCAAACGAATAGTCTATATTATCATCGTTGGTTATTTTTTTGTACATCTATTTCAATTACCTTATTTAAAATTTATGATTGTCCTATTAAATCTCACACACATGATTATTTTTCGTTATCTGCGTATATGCACGTCACCAAAAGCATGTTTTTTATTTAGTTTCTAATTTGATCGCCTTCTATTTATTATATTCTAAATTCTAGCCAAAGCAAATTAATTTATCTTAGAATATCAATCATTATCAATATATATAATATTTATTTAATGTTTTTATTGATTATTATAGGTTTAACACTAGTTGGTTTAATGAAGCGATGACCAGGGAACACAATAAATATTGCACAAGTGCACTCAAAATATTAAAACGTCACCCGTCTGCTGCACCTTTCCTAGAACCTGTAGATCCGATTAAACTTAATATTCCTGATTATCCTGATATTGTAAAAACGCCAATGGACTTTAGTACAGTTGAAAATGTTTTTTATTTAGTTTCTAATTTGATCGCCTTCTATTTATTATATTCTAAATTCTAGCCAAAGCAAATTAATTTATCTTAGAATATCAATCATTATCAATATATATAATATTTATTTAATGTTTTTATTGATTATTATAGGTTTAACACTAGTTGGTTTAATGAAGCGATGACCAGGGAACACAATAAATATTGCACAAGTGCACTCAAAATATTAAAACGTCACCCGTCTGCTGCACCTTTCCTAGAACCTGTAGATCCGATTAAACTTAATATTCCTGATTATCCTGATATTGTAAAAACGCCAATGGACTTTAGTACAGTTGAAAAAAAACTTAACGGTTATGATTACAAATGTGTCCATGATTTTATAAATGACGTTCGGCTCATATTCTCAAATTGTATCGATTATAATGGTGAACGACATCCGTTTTCAAAATTCATTAAAGATTTAGAAGAAATATTCACCGCACAACTTTCTAAAATGCCTGGTGCTAAAATTACCACTGTTGATAAGCCTGCTCCAGTAATTAAAGAAGAGGTAAATTTAATAATTTACGTATAAATAAAAAAAGTATATATATTTACATCAATTTATTTATTAATTTATACTAATGTAACTTATTTTTGATCTAATTAACAATCAACACAATTAATAATTAATGACTAGAAACCAGCACCTAAACCTGTTGCAGAATCTTCTACTAAATCAACAAACAAACCAATAAGCAAACAAACCGTCAAATCCACTATGGAAGCTGCGTCCTCTTCCTCTGCAGCTTCTTCTTCCGCTGTAAAAGCCGAAAATAATGAAGCGAATAGACCAAGAAGAATGATCAAGTTCCCTAATAAAGAACTTCCTCAAATCACTCAACCATCCCGTCGTAAAAAAACCAAGAAAAATATCGACCTTAAATTCTGTCGCTCAGTGTATCTGGAATTGAAAAAACGACAACACTCTGCATATGCTTACCCGTTCTATGAGCCGGTTGACGCTGAGAAATTGGGCATTCCTGAATATCCTAACATAATCAAAAACCCCATGGATCTCTCCACAATTTATAATAAATTGGAAAAAGAAGAATACACTTCTGCAGAAGAGTTTGAAGCAGACATTCGATTAATGTTTGACAACTGTTACAAATTCAATGCTCCTGGTACTGATGTTTATAACATGGGTAAACAACTAGAAAAGGTTTTTGATAAAAAATGGGCAGAGAGACCAATTCCACAGCTTTCTCCAACTGTTCGGGAGGGAATCAAGGAAGAAGAAGAATCTGCCTCAGACAAAGAAAGCGAACAAGGTATTATTTACATCATAAAAAATAATTATTGATGTTATACAAATAACTAAATAATATATTAATAAGAATCTTTTTTCATTTCTATTCAGCTAAACATTTGAAAGCTTTGCAAAAACATCTTGCTGCTTTATCATCCCAACTGAATCAATATAGAAAATCAGGAAAAACTAAAAACAAAAAACCTACTAAAAAGCTTACTAAAAAACCCACTAAATCCAAATCCAAGTCTGATGCTGATGCATTGACTGATGCAATGCCAAAAGCAAAACGTCGACGAATTTCAAAAGCTGAGATTGAGACCATTGTTAAAGAAGATGATGATAAGGAACTTACTGCCGATCAAAAGGCCCTTCTTTCTAAAAGGATTGAATATCTTCCTCAAGAACTCATGGTTACGCTCATTAGTATGATACAACAGAGTGGAGCAACGTTGATGCCTGAAGAAGGTGGTTACGAGTTAGAAATTGAGTCTATTGACACTAAAACTGCTAAAAAAATTTATAATTTTGTAATGGCAAATACTTCCGAACCAAATGGTCGTAAAAAACGAAAAATACCTGCTAAAAGTTCATAAACCAGAATGGATTGAACAAAATGATTGAAGCATTGAATATCCAAATTCTAATTTGTAACCAATGTAGAAAATATCTCCTCAATGCGCTATTAGACACCGTAAGTGCAAATTGACCTTTATTATATTTATTTTTTTTTTTATTAATTGAGTATAAAAATGTCTTTGTAACGTCAAATTTCACCATGAAACCAGTCTCGAAATGGGATTTGAAACTAATGTCTTTACGTGTAGTTGTAAGTATATTGTTTTTTTGCAGAAATAATACCATTTATTTATTATCTTATCTTCTGTTTATTAACTTTGAAAGCGCAAAAAATGTATTCAACACTGCATCAGCTTTCCATAGAACGAAGCAATTTCGGACTCACTTGATTCATCCAATGTTACAGGATCTTGCAAACGCAGTGACTGGACATCATATTACTATTTATATACATCCATATGACATGCCAAATCAACATACGTTTTTTATACGTTTTTTCTTTGTAACATTAAAATGCAAATTGTTTTTCAAATATAGAGGCGAGATTTATCTTAAAGCCAGCGCATCTCAAACCTACAGGTCGATGGTTTTTGATAGGTGTGACCCCTTTAATGAATATTCATGAATATGATGAATATGATCATTAGGCATGATAGAATTGTCCAATGGCTATTGGACCTTTTACATGCCTCGTTATTTGAAAGACCACGTGAAAGGATATTGGAGCAGTCGTGAACTCCCTTAAAGATACACCTACAAAATTTAATCATGATGACTACGAAATTATGAGATGTTTGCATATGACTTTTTCACACACATGGTAAAGTTAATTGCTGAGCTCTTGTACTTGCTAAATAAATTATCTTGTTTGCAAATAGGACTAGATATACAAGTATGGGGAACAGGTTTACCTGTCTCGAAGGCTCATTAACAAATATGTAAATTATGTTTCTACTTGATTAATAGTAATAG